TTTGGATGTACTAGGTGTAGGTAATAAGTTGTTGAAGTGGTCTTCTTAATTCTTGAGATGATAACTTAGGATGAAATCTCGTTTTGTTTAGAATGTGTTCTAGAATCTATCAACTCACCTCTTATGTGACTTTTTGGTCTTCTCCTCTCATGGCATTTTATCCCTGCAACAGAAAACTAGTACTGTGGTTTAAAGGACAACATCAGTAATAGAGGATGTATGGGCTAAGCACTAATGTCAGGAAATCAAATATTCCCAGTGCCTTAGGAGGCTCCTGTGCCACCTCCAAGTCTGCACTGATACTTGTTCTTCCCATCCAGACATAACATCATCCTGGTTTTCAGTTAATTATTCTTCTCTTCTCTGTATGACTTTTTACCGTGTGTGTGTGTATATGTGTGTGTGTATGTGCGTGTGTGTGTGTATGTGTGTGTATCTCCACAAGCATGTTTAACTTTGCCTGCTCTCTTTTTTGTTGCTTTTCTTTTAGTTTTCTTTCTACGTGTGTGTGTGTGTGTGTGTGTGTGTGTGTGTGTGTGTGTGCATGTGTGTGTGTATGTGCGTGTGTGTAACTCAACAGAGATCCACCTGAGGGAGAGATGAGTGCTATGTGCATATTCAGTCACTGAGCTACACCACAGTCTATGTTTGCTTCTTTTTTTCTGAGTGTTGGAGATGAAGTTCAGGGCCTTATGCATGGAAGGGAAGCACTCTGTCACTGAGCTACATCTTCAGCCTTTGATATTTTTGAGACAGCATCTTAACACTTGGCTAACCTTAATTTTTTGTGTAGTCCAGGTTGGTCATGAGCTCACAATCTTCCTGCTTCAACCTCATGAGTGCTGGGATTATAGACATGCTTGGATTGCCTGATTTTTTTTTTTTGTTGTTGTTTGTTTTGGTTTGTCTTGGTCGGTGTAGAATGGGTGTTTGAGGCAGGGTCTCATGTAGCCCAGGATAGCCTCAAACTCAGTATGTAGAGAGGATGGCCTTAAGCTCTTCATCTGCTTGCCTCTGCTTCCTAAGTTCTGGATTATAGACATTCCCCTCCAAACCCAGATTTGAAAAAATGATATGAGGTTTATTCGACAGAACATAGAAGATTCAAAATGTTGAATGACAGTAGCAGCCATGTTCTCTCAGGCACACATCTCTATAGGAGACCCCCTGGGCTTTCAGTTGCTAGTGGGGGCCTGGAAAGCGCTTAAATTCAGACCCTAACAAGAAAAGGACTACAGAGACTCACAATTGGTCAAAGTGTAGAGAACAAGTGACTATGGAGTGCTCAACCCTAAATGGGACAGCCATATCACAATCCTTTACTCAAGGCTCAAGGAACACTGGGAAGGAGGTTTGTAAGAGCCAAATGTTGAGGTGGATCATTGGGAAATGGTGTCTTCTGGACATGACATGGGCCCTTGCACTCATGAACTCGCAGTGGCTGTGGTTGCTTATCTGCATAAGATCTGCACAATATCATAGCAGTTTACATTCCGGCAGGGTTAGGAAGGGGGCTCTTTAAGTTCCAACCCTAGCGTGGTAGCTACTGGCTTTTGATGGCTCTCAGGAGGGAGAGTCAGTTTGCTTCAGGGATGTGTCCCATGGTAGGTTTTCCAACTGTAGTGGATGACTATACATGCATGCACGTAGAGGTGAAAGTAATTGGACTCAGTGAGCTCTGAAAAGAGGACACGAAGTTAGGGGGAGTACGTGGTGGGGGCATCTGGAGAGGTTGGAGGGGGCAGTGGGGAGTGGATGTAATAAAAATTCATTGTATACATCCATGTATTAGTTACTTTTCAGGTGCTGTGATTGAATACCCTGCCAGAAAGCAACTTAGAGGAGAAAAAGATTTATTTTGGCTTACAGTTCAAGGGGAGATACAGTCCATCACAGAGAGAGAGAGAGAGAGAGAGAGAGAGAGAGAGAGAGAGAGAGACTACGGACCAAATTACTTGATGAATATAGTTATAAGAAGTAGAAGTTGGGCCAGGCTATAAAACCTCAAGATTCACCCCCAGTGATGTACTTCCTTCAGCAAGGTTCCACTTTTTTGTTGTTGTCTTTTTTTGAGACAGGGCCTCCCTGTAGCTCCAGCTGGTCTAGAACTCATTATGTAGACCAGGCTGGCCTTGAACTCAACAGAGATCCACCTGCCTCTGCCTCCCAAGTACAAGGCTCCACTTCTTAAAGAATCCATAATCTTCCCAAACAGTGGCACAAAGTGGGGACCAAGTGTTCAAATACATGAGCCTATGGGGGAAGTTTCTCATTCAAACCACATTCCATCCCTGACTCCCATAGGCTCATGGCCATTTCATGGTGCAAAATACATTTAGTCCAGCTAGTAAAGTCTCCATAGTCTTTAATAGTACCAATACCGTTAAAAGGTCCAAAGTATCTTCCTATCTTCTGAAACTTAAGACAATCTCTTAACTGTGATACTCTTACGTACTTCCAACACGTAATGGCACAGAATCTACATTCTCATTTCAGAAGGGAGGAATAGGGGCCCAGGAGGAAATGTTGGACTAAAACAAGAAAGACAGAACCCCAATAGGGCAAGCACAGTGTCTTGTAACTCAATATCCTATGCCTGGGGCTTCCGTTTTAAAGGATTTAGGTGGTTCTCTTGGCTCTATCTCTCTTGGGTTGTTTCCTAGGCTGTATCTGGACTCCTTGGAAAATGTCCCACAGATCTGTCCTTTCCAACATCTTGGGGTCGCCACTCAACCCAGGCTTCACCTCCACAGCTTCACACAATGACCCCTAGGACCTCCTTGCAAGGACTCTGACTCTGAGAGACATTGCCTGGCTCCACAGATCTCTGAAAATATAGAGAAAGAATCCATGACCCTCTAAATCTTGCATCTTTCGTGTCTCCAAGGATGTCATCAGCTGGGTGACACTGTTGTGTTGCCAGCTCAGGACAGACCTTGGCTGTCTTGGACCATAGTTGTGGTAGCTTCTGTATGATAAAGCTGGTGAGAAACTTCCCTAGGTCGTTGTTTTCTAGAAGCATAAAACCACTTAGGTTCTTTCCTTTTATAAGTTGGAGCCTTATCAGGGTGGGGTATTGTCCTTGGTATCGTTCTGATTGTTCCAGTGCAGAACCAGAGACTTTTCCTTAATGGTGTCATGTCCAGCATATGACATAGCTGCAACCTTAAGCTTCCTATTTCTCTCGTTGTATCCAAACTGTACATTTAAAATTTTTCCTGTACCACTTGTTGCTTTTTTAAATTGTAGACCTGCATAAGAGTGATCAATAATAGCTATGTCACAGACTCAATGCTATGCTATATTGAAATTTCCTTTACACACACACACACACACACACACACACACACACACACACACAAATAGTCCACTACTTTTAAATTCAAGTTCATGCAATTCTCAGGACAGAGACAGAATGTAACCAGATTCTTAGCCAAAATATCACACAACTGGCCTCGAGACCAGTGGCCAATAAGGATCTTGTTCTTCTCTAAAACCTCATTGGCCAGGGCTCCACTCTCCACATTACTTTTAACACATCTGTCTTCCAAGCTCCCACAAGAATATCTCATTAAGCCCTGACTATGCCATTCAGTGGGTTTTCTAGCTCAGAGTTTCAAGGTCTTTCACATGCCTCCAAAAAACAGCATGGTCAGTTTTATCACAGCAACAACCTCATTTTTCTGGTACCTTTTGCTGGATTCGTTTCTTTTGCGTTGCTGAGATAGAATACCTGACAAAAAGCAACTTAGAGGAGAAAAGGCTTTACTTTGGCTTATAGTTCCAGAGGGGATGCAGTCAATCATGGTGGGGAAAGCATGGCAGCAGGAACACAAGGCAAGCCTGGTACTTGGGAAGAGAGAGAGAGAGAGAGAGAGAGAGAGAGAGGGAGAGAGAGAGAGAAAGAGACTTAATGTGTATTTCTTGTAGATGGTATACTGGATCCTTTTTTTTTTTTGACAATTTGACAATATATGCTACATTTCTATTAACTCATAAACTTTATTTAGATTTGTACACTTTTCTCTCCTAGGAACACATAGATGGATTTTTCTTTAATTTTCACTCTTTAAAAATTTATTTTTATTTATTTGTTTTGTATGCACAACTGTGTGCAGGTGTGTGCACCTTGTGTACTGCATAGAGGCTAGAGGAAGACATCAGGTGTCCTCCTCTATCACTCTCCACCTTACTTCTTTGAGACAGGGTCTCTCACTGAGCCTGCAGCTAGGCTAGTTGCCATCCAGCCCTAGAGATATGCCTGTCTCTTCCCCCAGTGCTGGGGTTGCTGTTCTTGGTTCTTTCAGTTCACTTTGGTTGGTTTTCATGGATGGGCATTAACTCATCCCACCACATTCCCTGCATGTCCTTACCATTACTTTACAAACCACATGCACTGAATTGTTGAAGGTCACAGTCTGAATATCTTACATGATGCACCACTGAAAAAATTACTGACAATGTTAGTTTTCTACTTCATTCTTAGCCCCGTCTTTTTGTTTTAAAAAATCTAATACAAATGCATAATTGCAAACAACCATTTCATAACTTTTATCTTCTCTGCTTAGCTGTGTATTTCTCCAAAATATGAAGTCCTCTGCAGAAGAGATTCCAGACCTTGGGAGCCACAGGGAACTTCCTGAAGCCATGGTAATGACCCCACCCCTTCCCTGACTCGGCAGCACATGGTCACGTGACTGAATGCTCATGAACAACCACCAATTATAAATAGATAATATCAAAACACATTCTACAAATATGTAATAAACACCTGTTTTGTGATCAGTGTAGATCGAGACTTCACAGTGAACAAGGGAGGAGCAGTACCTAGCTTCATTAAATGTATGGTCAGTCCCTTCTCTTATGAGAAGTCTTCAGATTCTTTTAGAATTATGCTTGATTGACATCCAGGCTAAATGAATCTCATCTGTGACTGTCTTTGTAAAACAGTAGGTTTGACTCTGTAGTTGGTCTTTTGAGTTCTACAAGGCATGTGTCATGGGTAGTTTTTTCCGTGAAATACGTTCTCACTACGTAGCCTAGGCTGAACTGAACTTGCTATGTAACCTAGGCTAGCCTAGAATTGTGATCCTCCTGCCTTAGCCTTCCAAATGCTAGGATTATAAGGGTGTGCCACTATGCCCAGATGATTTTGTTGTTGTTTCTTGTAGTGCAGGAAATGAAATCCAGGGCACTATGCATGCTAGGCAAGCAGTTTACTACTGAGCTACATCCTGGCCCACAGACATAATTCTTTTAAAATATTTTATTTATTATTTTTATTTTATGTGTATGAGTGTATTGCCTGCATGTGTATAAGTGCACCCATGTCATGCAATGCCTGAGAAGGTCAGAAGAGGATGTTAGATTCCCATGGAACTGGAGTTATGGATGGTTTTTAGCCACCATATTGGTGCTGAGAACCAAACCTGGGTCCTCTGCAAGAGCAGCCAGCGCTCTTAACTGCTGAGCCATCTCTCCATCCCCTCAAGGATATAATTGGTTTAAAAAAATTATTGAGTTTTTTTGTGTATTTCATATAGAACATTATAAACATTCTTACTCATCTTTATACCCGCATCCCAAATGGCACCCTTCCATACCCCCCCCCACTGGAGCCCATATACCCTGTCATCCCTGTTACTGTCTACTCTGTTGTCAGTGCCCCCAGCTGTTCCCCAGTGCAAGTCCATCCATTGAATCGAGTCAGCCTATCTAGAGATCCTTGTTTTAGGAAGATCAGCTGTTCCTCATGAATGTCCTATTCATTCTAGAAATGGGAAAATGAACAGCAGACTCCAATCTTATCTAAAGGAATATTGAGTTTTAGGAATGTTCCTCATGAATGTCCTATTCATTCTAGAAATGGGAAAATGAACAGCAGACTCCAATCTTATCTAAAGGAATATTGACAACTGATTGCTGCTAGATGAGGAACAGCTGATCTTCCTAATTCCTAAAACTTTAGATAGGCTGATTAGATTCACCAGAATGGCTGAGGTGCCAACAACACAGCAGACAGCAGGGAGATCAGAGTATAAGGGCTCTAGTGGGGGGAAGGAGGCTATGGGAGGGTGCTACCTGGGAAGTGGGTGTATAGTTGAATAAGATG